GAAAATTTTTGGGTGGGGGTGAAAGTGAGAGGGGGAACCTCAAAAAATTTGATCCGAGGAGATGGAGAAACCCCCATAGGGGGGAATGCAAAAACTTGGTAATATTGAGAAATTTTTTGGGGATGGGGGGGTGGAAGGAGGGGCAATCCAAAAAACCTTGATCCAAGGAGATGGAGAGCACAAGAAAATGAAATTCAAAAAAAATTCGAAAAAAATCGGAAAAAAATTCGAGGCGCGGGGGCGATCCGGACGACGCTGCAGAAGGCGCAGCAGAAGGCGCGGCGGGGCTCGCGAAGGGCGCGGGCGGGCGCGCGGGCGGGGCGGGGCGCGCGGGCGGGCGCGCGGGCGGGCGCGCGGGGCGGGCGGGGGCGCGCGGGCGCGCGGCGCGATGCTGGGGTCGCGAGGCGGGGGGGTCGTGGGGAGTGGGGGTATTGGTTGGGGGGGGTCAAGGGTGAGGTAGTCTCGAGGGCGAGGTCATGGTCAAAACCGGAAGTAACACCTAGGTGTGAAAAGGTGACCCTCCAGCTGCTGGTCCTAGACCGGAAGGGTGCGCTCAGTGGAACGCCTAAACCGGAAGTTCCTCGCCCAGTGAAAGGCCCAAACCGGAAGGAGCCACTCAGCCGCATTTTTGACTACTTATATATATATATATATATATATATATATTAAGCTTAGAAAATTTTAATCACTGTCAGATTACTAGCTGCTTTCAACAGAACTTCAGCTCTCAGTGTTGACTTTACATTTTTCTGTTTCACTTAGATTTCAGTGGAAAACATCAATAGATAGGCAATGTTGTTATATTCTCAGCTAAGCAAGCTAAGATCCCATTTGGGAAATAAAGCGATTGGTTAATGGAATCCATGTTTGTTCATACCTCTTTTCTTGGTTTTGTGATTACACACCACACACACACACACACACACACACACACACACACACACAAATGACGACGGAAGGAATAGACTCCGAAGTGTCCCTGTTTGAAGATGACGTGAAGTTGATCAGAAGAATTCATTCGATCGAAGACCAGGCAGAACTACAAAGGGATCTGGACAGGCTGCAGACCTGGTCCAGCAATTGGCTCCTGGAGTTCAATCCCACCAAGTGCAAAGTCATGAAGATTGGGGAAGGGCAAAGAAGACCGCAGACAGAGTACAGTCTAGGGGGCCAGAGACTACAAACCTCACTCAAGGAAAAAGATCATGGAGTGAGTATAACACCAGGCACATCTCCTGAGGCACACATCAACCAAATAACTGCTGCAGCATATGGGCGCCTAGCAAACCTCAGAACAGCATTCCGACATCTTAATAAGGAATCATTCAGGACCCTGTACACCGTGTACGTTAGGCCAATATTAGAGTATGCGGCACCAGTTTGGAACGCACACCTAGCCAAGCATGTAAAGAAACTAGAGAAAGTGCAAAGGTTTGCAACAAGACTAGTCCCATAGCTAAAGGGTATGTCCTACGAGGAGAGGTTAAGGGAAATCGACCTGACGACACTGGGGGACAGGAGAGATAGGGATGAGACGATAACGACATACAAAATACTGAGAGGAATTGACAAGGTGGACATAGACAGAATGTTCCAGAGATGAAACACAGCAACAAGGGGACACAGTTGGAAGTTGAAGACACAGATGAATCACAGGGATGTTAGGAAGTTTTTCTTCAGACTCAGAGTAGTCAGGAAGTGGAATAGTTTGGGAAGCGATGTAATGGAGGCAGGATCCATACATAGCTTTAAGCAGAGGTATGACAAAGCTCACGGTTCAGGGAGAGTGACCAAGTAGTGACCAGTGAAGAGGCGGGACCAGGAGCTGGGACTCGACCTCTGTAACCACAACTAGGTGAGTACAACTTGGCGCGTACACACACAATATATATATATATATATATATATATATATATATATATATATATATATATATATAATATATATATATATATATATATATATATATGTATGTATGTATGTATTATAACATTGAGACGTGAAATTAAATGCTATGAAAAAACCTCAATGGACAACAGAGACCCAAAACTCTTTCCTAATTATAAATCTGTTAATATTTTATTCTGAGTATTTTAGCACTGTTATCAGTCCAGCAATGTATTAATTAGCCTTGTTGGTGTTAATATTTTTTTTATAAGAGAATATATTATAATCGTTTGAAATTAAATGTATCATAATGTGATTTTTAAATGGCTTTTAAAGTGGCCATCAATGGATAAAATTTTAATCTGGCATCAACAAATATGTTTTGGGAGGAATTTCATTTCCTGGTATAATTGGATCACATCGGCTTCACTGATCTCTCACTGAGATTATTCTCATTATGGAGGCTCTTACCTCTTTCTCATTTCAGCTTTACCATTATAACTGTGTGTTACTATGAAACTAGGAAAGAGTGTCGTTTGATGATGAGGCCGAGTCTGAGATTAATGGAGGCTTAGATTACGACTAGTTTGGGATTAGTTGAAAAATCGTCGGAGATTTGTTGATGCCTAGTTTGTGATTAGACGAACCTTAGATTGAGATTAGGCTTTGATTAACAGAGACCATATATTAGATCAGTAGTAGTTTTTGGTGTTTCAAGATTAAAGCCTAATCAGCAAGTGTTTAAAACATTTTAACAACGAAAGTCGTGCCTTTAAAACCTTTCATACAAACTCTGTGATAGTGTTTAGTGGCGCCAGTAATGGCGTTAGACTGGTGTCTCAAGACACCAGGGAGGAGAGTGAGATTGATTACAATGGCTTATGCGTGTGTGTTTGTGACGCATACAGGGAGGAGGCTAGGTGGGGAGACTTGAGGTAGGGAAGGAGTGACAGGGTACCAGAGTGCCTTCTTGTGTGTTGGGATACAATTATTTAATGTATGTATTTTTGTGCTTATGTGTTTGTGATTGTACAAGTCGAGTGTCGCCTCCAAGCCTTTCCCTCTCTTACTTATGAACGGTCACACTCCTACTGGACTAGTGAATGATGTCATACTTAATCAGTAAAACATCTCATGGTGTACATGTACTGAGGTATACACACATGTACCTCTCGGTTTATGTATATTGAGATACCCCCACCCACTTCTTGGTGTATACATAAACACACACACACACACACACACAACAACGTTGCAGTGAATGGCCCATACTGGTTTTACGCTTGAATCCTAATATACCAAGTTATGTTATACTAATAATTATTTTGTTTTTGTCCCCCAGATGAGGTGTTGGAGGAGGGAGGCTGTGCCCTGAGCGTCCGTGATGTTAGCGAGCTGCTACACGCCCAGTATGCCATCATTACAGGTCAGTTCTGGCTTATTTACCTTGTTTCTCCTTTATTGGTTGCCTTCATTTGCCCATACCTGGCGAGAACCTTATACTTCCTTCTAATTGCCACATTTAATTTGTGTCTTATTTACTTATTTTTCCCTATGTTTCTTCTGTTTAAAATGTTAACTCGTTGAGACAATTTTTTTTTGTGCTAATTTATGATTACGATTGTTCAGAAACAATATTTTTGGGGGGACGAAAATCTTTGAGAATTTACATTATCTCCTCGATTTCTCAAGCAGTGTTTACACTGGAAATTTTACGAAGTTAACCTGGAAAATTAATAGGATTGGGACAGAGGAAACTTGTTTTGTTTCTCATCTCTCAACGAGACATTTGGTACCTAGATGGAGGATTTTTTTAACCATGGTAGATTATGTTGAATATTTCCGATAGGATTTTTAAAAATACTTTTCACTATACAATATTCGTTATAAGTTTGATTTTCTTTTTAAGGTCTAAGTTTATCAAATTCCCTCTCATTAGGGTATGAACTTGCGATTTTGTTTTGTATATTAAATCTGAGTTTTCTTGTGTGTGCCTCTAATCAGACTGTTTCTTCAAGCATAATGTCTTAGTAATCAGTCTCCAGGTTGAAGTACTGTCGTGTCCATCATTCTAATCTTTCCTCTTGCAAGTGTTCAGTGTCTCAGAAACTTCCAGGGAGATTAATGGGTTTCCATTTTTTTTTTTGGACCCCGGTCTCTCGCAATCATTGTAACTTCGTTTCGTCCCGTAATCCTTTTAACTTCGCTTCGTTCCATGATCCTTCATTCCTGCTTCGTCTTAGCCCTCCAGCTGCTGCTCCAGCTGCTGCTGCTCCAGCTGCTGCTGCTCCAGCTGCTGCTGCTCCAGCTGCTGCTGCTGCTCCAGCTGCTGCTGCTCTCCTGAGGTGCTTTGGACTCTAAGAGCGCTCATGAAAAAAATAATCATCTTAATTATGGAGAATTATAAACTACCTCGTCCACTCACTATCGTTTACGCTCCCTGGATGCTTTTGGTAATGGATTTTTTTCAGATTACTTGGGAGTCTGATGATACGTAACTGTGGCTGACGTAATACGTTGTGGCGTATTGGAAGCGCTTGGAATTTTACTCTATTTATACAGTGGTTGTTTCACACACACACACACACACGCACACACACACACACACACACACACACACACACACACACACACACACACACAACACACACATACACACACACACATACACACACACACACACACACACACACACACACACACACACACACACACACACACACACACACACACACACACATCGAGAGAGATGTATGATGTTTACATTATTTTGTTTGTATACAGGTTAATTACGGCCATAATGACCCACTTGCAGTCGATAGACATTAAACCAAGAAAAAATAATTTGCAAATCATATTCTCATATTTTTTTTTCTTTTTCGTTTCTTATGCCATGCCATTTTTTTTTCATTTCCATAAGCCACTTTATCTCTTCATAATTCAGGTTGTTAATGTATTAGTATCAGATCTTAAGAAATGCTAAATTTAGCTTTAAAAATGTTCTGGGCTGGAGTACTTGGTCCAGCTGCTGTACACGCGCTCTCTCGCGCTCTCTCACGCTCTCTCGCGCTCTCTCGCGCTCCCTCGCGCTCTCTAGCGCTCTCTCGCGCTCCCTCGCGCTCTCTAGCGCTCTCTCGCGCTCTCGCGCTCCCTCGCGCTTTCTTGCGCTCTCTCGCTCTCTCTTGCACTCTCTCGCGCTCTCGCTCTCTCTCTCACGCTCTCTCACGCTCTCTCACGCTCTCTCGCACTCTCTCACGCTCTCTAGCGCTCTCTCGCGCTCTCACGCTCTCTCGTGCTCCCTCGCGCTCTCTCGCGCTCTCTCGCTCTCTCTTGCACTCTCTCGCGCTCTCTCGCGCTCTCTCGCGCTATCTCGCGCTTTCTCGCGCTCCCTCGCGCTCTCGCGCTCTCTCACGCTCTCTCGCGCTCTCTCTCGCTCTCTCTCGCGCTAGCTCGCTCTAGCGGTGAGAATTATTGTCGGTGTTGAGTATAATGGTGATATATTTCCTTCCTGATCCAGTTACCTAGGCAATTTTTCCCCTCTGTTTAGCGAGGCTGTGTACGCCACTTGCAGTTTAACTTCTTAACTCGCGTCTCAGGCTGCTGCCTACGTCTTCCCTTGGTTTGGATGTTGCAAATTACACCTTCGTCGTCGTCGTGCTCTTCCTCCCCCTCCTCCTCCTCCCTCTCCTCCTCCTCCTCCTCCTCCTCCTCCTCGTCCTTCTCCTCGTCCTCGTCCTCCTCGTCCTCGTCCTCCTCGTCCTCATCCTCCTCCTCGTCGTTCTCCTCCTCCTCCTCCTCCTCTAAATTTTCCTTTGCATTCTTGTTTTTTTTCATATTCTTCCTCTTCCTTTTTCGTTTTCTTGATGTTTCTCCTCCTTTTCATCCTTGTTTTCCTTTTTCTTCCTCCTTCATTCTCCTACATCGCCCGTCTTCCCACCCTCCAACTTCCTTCATCAAGCTCTCCTTCACCACTGGTTTTCGCCCAAGATATTATGTTCATTCGTTTGTTAGGTTTAAAGTCCTTGGCTGCACAATGGCCATTAAGGCTGTATGTAGCCTGTGCACCGTCAGTCAAGGAATACCTGTATCCCTGATGTATATAGATTCGAGTTAATTCTCAGCGAAATGTATCCCTCTCGGCGTATATACATCTAGAAATGCATTCCTCTCACCGTATATACCTCGAAAAATGTATCCATCTCAGCGTATATACATAGGGAAATGCATCCCTCTCAGCGTACGTACTTCGAGAAATGTATCCCTCTCGGCGTGTATACATCGAGAAATGCATCCCTCTCAGCGTACATGGGCGTTTGAATATGAGGCGGCTACGTGCGTTGACTGCTAGAACGGTGACTTATCCAGTGAACTTGGGGTAGGTACTAGGTACTTATTTACCTATAATTTACACTTATTTTGCGTGCTAAATAACACACTAAATCTTTGGTCACGGGTCACAGCGTCTTCCATGTCATGAGAGATGTGACCTGTAACTCCTTACAGGTTAAACATGCCAGGAGACGCTGTGATCTGTGACTCGTTACAAGTTAAATATGTCAGAAGACGCTGTGACCTGTGACTCGTTACAGGTTCACATCCTTTTAGTGTACCGGAGCTACACCTTATACCCCACTTATATAACATAAGATCACTACAGAGGAGTTTATCCTAAGACAAGATGATAACCACTAAGACTTTCTTTAGTTAGGTTAGGTAAAGTTTGTCAGGAAACAGAACAAGTGTTTCCTGACGCTGATCTTAGTCATATGACCCACAGCTGGAGTTTTTGGTCATCTAATCAAAAACTTCTGCTGGCTTACCGCAGTCCACACCTTTACAAATCAAGGTTATGATTATAACCATTAGTTTGTAATGGCCTGAGCTTGCTACCATCTGCAGCTCATAAGGCTGCCATCCCCACGAGCCCCTTCGAGGCGGGGTAGATGGCAGACCAGAGGCCTAGCTTCTCCCTACGAGCCCCGTGAGGGCGGGGAATGTGGCTAGGCCTGGGGACACTTGGTCCCAAAGATGAGGAGGTACTTGTCCTTCCTCCCATGGGAGACTTAAGTCTCGAGACACTCCCCAGATAGGGAGCCAAGGCCGGGTCACCACTACTTGGAAAAGACCCGGGCCGGGAGAATACCGGTGAATAAAAAAATAAAAAAAACATTAGTTTGTTATATCAACTATTTCTTTAGTTGGTGGAGGTCAAGACTCCAGTGTAGTTTACTGTGTACCATAGAGTGTAGACTTCTTGGTATTGTGGAGGAAGTTTACTATATCTTAAGAAGTTTAAACCTCTTAAGATATAGTAAACTTTAAGGTTTAACAATGCCTGGCACTTCCTCCACAATACCAAGAAGTCTACACTCTATGGTACACAGTAAACTACACTGGAGTCTTGACCTCCACCAACTAAAGAAATAGTTGATATAACAAACTAATGGTTATAATCATAACCTTGACTTTTAAAGGTGTGGACTGCGGTAAGCCAGCAGAAGTTTTTGATTAGATGACCAAAAACTCCAGCTGTGGGTCATTATATGACTAAGATCAGCGTCAGGAAACACTTGTTCTGTTTCCTGACAAACTTTACCTAACCTAACTAAAGAAAGTCTTAGTGGTTATCATCTTGTATCATAACTGGACAGCTTCAGGATAACTTTTATAAACAGAGTAGTGTATAAAATATGCGCAATATTTGAAGTTTTATCGTTGGATGTGTCCAGCTTCTTCTTGTAAGCAACTTAGTTCCGACAAAGTTTCTGATGTTAGGTAAAAGGCCACAGCTGCAACAAATGTGATATTTTATTGTTGCAACATTTCACTCTCCAGGAGTTTTATCAACGGCATCTGTGTCCATTGACTTAATATAGAGTAATGTAGTTATAACTGGTGTTGTTGCCTCAGGTTAACATGTAGGCGGCCGCCAGTATGGGGTGAAGAGGCCATTTCCTGCTTGTTAAAAACTAACTGACCTCAGAGGCAAAGGCCTTGGCACTGCAGGAAGGACTCGTTACATCATGTTAGCCAGAAGAAACGTAGGCGACGAGGGGAATAGATGCTGTTAGGGAGAAAGGATGAGAAAAAGTTGGGTTGTTCAGTGCACGCTAATTCACGGAAAGATCGGAAAAATTATTAGAATTTACATATCATAACTTATTTAGTGAAAGTGATTTAACTTTTCTCCATTTTACTAAACAGTGTTATTGCAGAATTCTTCAGGGTACAACTACATACAGTAAAAATAATTTATCCAGCCAGTACACTGTATGTAAATAAACCACACGATACCTTACTGTTTAATGCCTTTAGTTCTGGTACTGTTTTGATCACTGTAACGATAGAAGGATATTATTATTATTATTATTATTATTATTATTATTATTATTATTATTATTATTATTATTATTATCATGGGTAAGC